TTGTCCAGTCAGTGAGGGACAGGCTATCGGAGCGAACTGAGGCCAACTGTCCGCACCTGTACGACAAACGGGACGTCCATAAGCTGTTAACGTGCGACTGGTTTGTACGCCGGTTCCTGGCCTGGAGACCAACCACCATAGACTGTGCCGTCAAATGTGTGGCCGATGCCATGAAATGGAGACATGCCTTGGCTATCAACGACTGGTATATTATATTACATTATATTTATTATCATACATGTGCTGATCTCCCGGTGCCGCCGAACTATTGACCTTTTGATTTATTGACCACTTTTTTGTAACATTTTGTGAAATTATTAATTAGTTTTTTTTGAATACATTAATGATTTATCACATAATTAGTTGTGTATCATAGGCAGTGATTAGCAAATATATAGATTATTATTTTCGTATGAATAACTAGTTATTAATGTAGTTTTTTTGTTTTTTATTTGATTATCATTATCCCCGTTAGTAATACAGTAGTTATTAATTTTGATGATTGAATTGAAAGCATAATTTTTAAGTCAAATTAGACTTTCCTATGAATATAGTGTTTAAATTAATATAATTTTTGTAAACCACTTTATACATTATATATTGAATATAATATTTCTAACGGTATAACAGATTTTAGCCATTAATTGAATACTTAATGCGGAAACCAAACGAAGTCTTATATAACTATAAAACGATTTTTTGTTCAATTGTCCACAAAATATAAGCAAAAAAAATAATTTTACATTAATATGATATTTAAGAGCGTAAAATACTTTTTCATATTTTGCTGAAAAAAATAAATAAAAAACAAAATCTAATAAACATTTTCTGTTCCGCTGTTATAAACCAAAAGTTTACAAAACTTTTTAAACACATAAAAAAGTGCATTCAATTTGGGATTAATACAAAAAATTAGTTTAATCACAAAATGTTTAACTACAAAACTCACATCCCTGTCCCACAGGAACGACACCTATTTTCCCGTCGAGTTCTACCGGTTGGCCGCGTGTTTCAGTTACCTACCGGACAGGGAGGGCAACAATGTACTGATCATTAGACTGAAAAACAATAGGAGGGACCCTATATTGAAAGCACATTTCGATGAGTTGGCCCGAAAGTACTTCATATACGTGTGCGAGAGGATTGTGAGCCAGCACAGTCACCGCGGGTTCGCCATCATATTTGACTGTCACGGCGCCTCCCTGTCCAACGTGGACCTCGACTTCGCCCGGTTCATCATATCGACCCTGTCCAACTATTACGCCGGTAATTGCACAGCTATTAATCACCTAGGACATGTGCTAGTTTGGAGTTTTGTAGTTTATTTTTTAAATTTTCATAAGCAGTGATGACTAAAAGTTTTAAAAAACAAAAAAATATGTGCAACATAATTTATTAATTTCATATATTGTAGATTATTAATAGATAAAGCTTTTTACAAACACAAAAATCTCTACTATTTAACTGTATTCAAAGTCACCTGTATCTGTGCATTTTATTAGGCATTTCTAATTTGCTTTTAGTATAGAATTAGATTTTTTAAAATATTCACCAACTATTGAACAAATTGAACCTAATCAGATACATTTTTATAAGTTAGTTAATATTTTAAACATACAAATACTAAAATAAATACTTCATTTAAGAATCTATGAAAATGTAAAAAATATCTTAAAAATATATTAGAAATTGAATCCCTATCAGATTACCTATTAATTATGACACCAAGCACGTACCACACCGAATATTATTAAACTATATGGACAATAGTACTTTTTAGTGTAATATTTGGTGTGGTGCGTGCTTAGTTTGAATTTTGTCAATGTCATAATTAATAGGTAATCTAATAGGTATTCAATTTCTAATATATTTATGAGATATTTGGCAATTTTGCATTTTCTTAGATTTTTAAATTAAGTTATATTTTAATTAATTAATTAAATCATGAAAAACAGATATATTGGGTTACAGTTATTTCCGTTGTGAATTTCAATAGAAAATCTCCATAGAATGGCTGAAAATATACAAATTTATTTTTAGCTAGATCATCCACTGCTGTAAATTGTATTTGTTGTGGATTTAAACTGGCATTATTTAATGTGATCCTTTTAATTAGTCTTACACTTTGAAAACCAAATACAAAAACCTTTTGCATCAGTTGTCACAATAGCTTCATAAATAAGTCTCATATTTATTTACTAGTATTAAAAGTAAAAGTAATTTTAATTAAACATACAAATCAATTGATAACCAAATAGCATACAACTATTTACTAAACTATTAGACAATATTGAAAACCTTATACTATAAGACTCCAAAACAATTACCACTAACTACTAGTTAACACCAAAAAATAACAGTATTAACACGGCTACCCTATCACCACCTACAGGTGCC